AAAAAAAAAAAAAAAAAAAAAAAAAAAAAAAAAAAAAAAAAAAAAAAAAAAAAAAAAAAAAAAAAAAAAAAAAAAAAAAAAAAAAAAAAAAAAAAAAAAAAAAAAAAAAAAAAAAAAAAAAAAAAAAAAAAAAAAAAAAAAAAAAAAAAAAAAAAAAAAAAAAAAAAAAAAAAAAAAAAAAAAAAAAAAAAAAAAAAAAAAAAAAAAAAAAAAAAAAAAAAAAAAAAAAAAAAAAAAAAAAAAAAAAAAAAAAAAAAAAAAAAAAAAAAAAAAAAAAAAAAAAAAAAAAAAAAAAAAAAAAAAAAAAAAAAAAAAAAAAAAAAAAAAAAAAAAAAAAAAAAAAAAAAAAAAAAAAAAAAAAAAAAAAAAAAAAAAAAAAAAAAAAAAAAAAAAAAAAAAAAAAAAAAAAAAAAAAAAAAAAAAAAAAAAAAAAAAAAAAAAAAAAAAAAAAAAAAAAAAAAAAAAAAAAAAAAAAAAAAAAAAAAAAAAAAAAAAAAAAAAAAAAAAAAAAAAAAAAAAAAAAAAAAAAAAAAAAAAAAAAAAAAAAAAAAAAAAAAAAAAAAAAAAAAAAAAAAAAAAAAAAAAAAAAAAAAAAAAAAAAAAAAAAAAAAAAAAAAAAAAAAAAAAAAAAAAAAAAAAAAAAAAAAAAAAAAAAAAAAAAAAAAAAAAAAAAAAAAAAAAAAAAAAAAAAAAAAAAAAAAAAAAAAAAAAAAAAAAAAAAAAAAAAAAAAAAAAAAAAAAAAAAAAAAAAAAAAAAAAAAAAAAAAAAAAAAAAAAAAAAAAAAAAAAAAAAAAAAAAAAAAAAAAAAAAAAAAAANTAGATATATCTATGATTATATTTCTTTATGCTATTATGTGAGGTTCCAGTGAGATGCAAACCCCTCACTAAAAATTTGTTTAAAAGCTTTCTACTTGGGAAAGGAATTTTTTAAGATAAACACAATTCAAAGAAAAAAAAAAAATAGGTGTAAGTGTCAAACAACCTGAGTTCATGTGTCAAACTGGGAAGATGAACTTTGGCTTGGGTGTTTGTAAATTACGGTAAACTTGAATGGCTATAAAATATTTTGATCAATAAATAATTATTGTGAGACTTTTTATAAAAATTTTTCACAAGAAATAATATGTAACATAGATGTAGTGAATGTTATATTGTTAGGAGTATTAAGTACTGGGGTTGGATGTCACGCCAACAGTTATCTCAATCAAAACTTCTTCCAAAACTTCAGACTATGAGGCGTTAAATATATATATTTAACGCCTCATATTTAGTCTGAAGTTTTGGAAGAAGTTTTGATTGAATGTTATATTATTTTATTAATTACATACAAAGCATAATATAAACAGTCGTCTCACTATGAAACTCTTTGGAAATAAAAATGAATCATTCTTCTACCCAAGGGTTGAGATCCTGACATTAAGTAACACTTTTTAAGCACCCACCTCCTTATAAAGTCATTGTAACAGATATCTACATATCCACCCATATCTGTATTATGTAAATTATGCATAGTTCCTATGTTTATAAAACAAAGAATAATTTAAAATTAATTGTGTTGATTGGCTATGAACAAGACAGCTACACTGTATAAATTTTTTATCCCAAATAACAATTTTAATTAAAAAATAATTTTCGTAATTCTTTAAAGTACATTTTAAAGAGCAAAATAGAATTGCACTGTAGACATATAACTACTATCAAAATAAATGCAGATTATGACAAACTTTTAAATAAAAATGTGATGTAAGCATTTTTATTTAAAAATATAATAACGAAAATGTTGTTATATTTTTTATTAAATACTTTGTTGTTGGAAATACTAAGGGGTTTGATTATTTTAAGCTGTAAGCATTCCAAATTGTTGATTAAAACTTCAAAATGAGAGAAATAATGGTGGAGACACTTGCAATTTGCTGATTGTCAGAATATAGATCACATGCCATAGATGAAACTTTGATTATGATTGGCTGTGTGTGACATTTATTGATATTTGGTTCCTCTACATATATGATACTATTACATAAGAAATCTATTATATATATATAATAGAAGTAAATTTTGGATCATGCTGTCTGATCCGATTCTGGATTTATGGTTTGTCAAAAAGAACACTATAATTCCTTGAACTCAGACTAAGTCCATATATTTTGCACTAACTGGATAGATAGATAAAAAAAATTCACACCTTTAAAAAAGTCCAGCAATGAATTTAATAAAATAATAACATTTTCGACCAGCTTCACCAATCTTCAGTTACAATAGAACAGAAAAATAGAATGTGAATACAAAAATTTAAAAACAAGAACAAGAATTCTAAAATAAATAAATAAATAAATAAATAACAGCAGCCGTAGTTGAGATTAATAAAATAAATAAGTACAGAAATAAAATAAAAAGTAAAAATAAATGAATAAATATCACTGAATAAAATTAAATTTCATAAATGGACTGCCATTTTGTAGACAAGTTGTCCACATCTCTATGATGATGCAATAGGATTTTTTGTGAGTTTTATAAATTTCTAATTTTACCCATAGTGTGTATATTAGATGTAGGTCTGATGATGGTTGTCTGCTTCTATCGTACTTGTATGTCTTGATATTGCGAGTAAACTACCAGCATCATATTATTGAGATTTTTATCAATTGTGTACTTATGTTCCTTGAGTCATTGTTGTAAATTATACATAGTGGCACCTACATAGACCAACTTTGATTTGAAATGTTGGTTAATTGTCAGGATGGAGTAAATCCCTGTGGTTGAATTACGGTTATATGATTTCTTATCATTCCTTAAAATTCTTTAGATCATCAGGTTGTGCCGATATACTATTGCAACATTAATAGCTCTGGCCTCTTTCAAAACCACTCTTTGTTTCTGGTCTACTGATGCTTGTTGACATTTTGATGTTTGAAGGTTGCGATCAATTTCTGTATTATTTTTATTGGATAACCCTGTTGCTCTGCGATTTTTAAGATGTAATTCAGCTCCATTATGGTGTCCTGGATGCTGGTGCAATGAGTATATACCCTTCTTATCAAGGATCTAAAGGCTGCAAATTTGATGTGCCAGGGATCAACAATGTTTTATGGAATTAAAATAGCTTGAAAACATGGTTTCCTAAGTGCCTTGGTCCAAATTTTGCCATATTTGCAAGAAATGGAAATGTCCAAAAAATTTACCATTGTTTCACTCTCCTGGTCTAATTGTAGGAGTAATCCATAGGGGTTATCATAGTACAGTAAGATCTTGCTTAACGTGGGGAATGCATTACTAGATAACAAAGCACTAAGCAAAACAGCATTAAACGAGGTCATTTTAACATAGAGTAAATAGGGATAGGGGAACATATGACCAAAAATAAACAAATTTTACTTTAATTTTAAGTTATTTTTATATTAATTTGTATAATAATATATGTTAAATAACACAAACATATGCACACAGAAATGTAAACTTCATTTTTTTGTGATGAAAGTTCTGACTTTTCTGAAATTCTTGTTCTTTTGCAATAAAGTCATGAAGTTTCATTCGTTTCTTTTTTCTTTCCTTAAGCAAATGCCAGTAGCAGAAGATCGCATCCAAAGCTATCATCATAGTCACCTTAGTTTCCCTACCTTACTCACAGATAGACTAGATAATATGTGGTTGCCTGGAAAGATTCAAGTCTTCCAATAATCCAAAAACAAAAAGAAGATAAGGCAAACATAAACAAAATGTTCCATTTTAATAGAAAGGAAAATGCAATATCAATGTCTATTTCCTATTCAATTTTTTTTTGTGAGTATATCCATTTCCTTTCTCTACGAATAATAAAGATAAGGTTAGATAATCAGTTAACATAGTTAATGTGAGAGAGAGTATAATACTTTCAATTGTAAACTGTTAAATGAAATACCTCCTACAAATAACGGAATCAATGATAGAACATATATAAGATCTTGTAAATTATTTAACTTTAAAGTTTCATTTCAAACACAGAAGTAGCCCGAATCCTTCATCCCAGAAATGGCAGAGAATGTGTCTCTAGACCCAGCTGAAGAAAAGAGACTTCTATGAACATACAAAGAAGAAACAATGAAACCATAAAAAGAAGATCGCATCGAAGACCATAAAAACTTCGATGTGATCAAAGCATCCATAATACCAACTGAACAACTTCCTAACTTCCCCGAAAGATAACTGAATAACTTCCACAAGAGATCTGACAACAGTTTCCAGCAACAGAATGTTTGAATATTAAACTGTATTAATCTATCCAAGGAAATTATGTTTTAACATATGTCACGTCTGGAAAGAATCAATTGTATACATCTATTTCATCGTTTATTTGTAGGTCTTTATATATGTGTATAGTTTTAATATGTATCATTTTAATATTTAATACTTTATTATGTAGTATCAATAATTTTGTCACATGTATCACATTTTTGTAAACAAAATTTTTTTGTGTGTAAATTTTTGTCCGATGGAGATTATATTATTTTTTGATCCTTGTAGATTAATTAATAATAAAGAATCAGCTTGTGTTTTGGTTATTGTTATCTAATTCCTCTTACTGTTTGTTTTATTTTTTGGTTTTTGTTTATAGATACTTGAAAAAGGCCTATTTGGCCACAGTTAATTTATTTTGTTTATCAAAAAGACACTATTATTTTAAACTTATAAAACTAAAATAAGTCTCTTATTATGTAAAAATTAGCAATAAAATAAATTGCTACTTTTAGTTTATGAATGCAATATACATATACTGCAAAATATTACATACATTTTATTGCAGTTACGATAAAGAAACTCACATTTCTTGAAAATATAATTTTATGCAATAAAAAGCATGTAAGTTTTTTTGATATAGATTAAAATTTAATTTAGAATCTTATTCCATGCTTGATCTTATAAGATCTTGAAGAAGTCATTAAAAAAATTAATGATATACAAATACTCAAATTCAAATTTTATTATATTTTGCACTGTATTAAAAGACATTCTTTCTACTTACTGGTATCATCCAATTGGCTAGATCTCCATATTTAGATACTTGCATTGCTCCTAACATAGTTACTTGTAGATGCCCACTGAATAAAATGTATGTTTAAAAAATATTCAGAATTTTGTAAATTTAAGAAAATAACAGAACAGTTTACCCTCGGATAATTGCAAACGATTCATCACTAGAAAAAAATGAAGCCCCAGGAAGGATGGTAACTGACTCCTTTCCAGCATTAATCAAATCTGCATCTACTTCATCTTGCAATGGATATGGACCCTAAATACATTTTATGATGATGTAATATAATATTGAAATCATGAAATAATAAAATATTTACTTACTAATCCAATTAATCCATTTTCACTGTGTAAATGTACAGTTGTTCCTGGTGGAATGAAATTACTTACTAAAACAGGTATACCAATTCCAAGATTTACTGATGATGATAAGTAAAAATTCGAAATTATAACAATCACATTTAAAGAAAGCCCAACATTTAATAATAAACAAATAATACAGCTGGATTTTAATCTGACTATAATATAGCTAGTTAATTAAAAAGATGTTACATAATATGACCAAAGATAGGAAGGTAAGTTGCCATATTGAATTAATTTAATAATTAAAAATAAATTTAAAACATTCTGGAAGAAAAGATTGATCTGGAACAGAACTAACATGCAATTCCAGCTTACCTTACAGACGAATAATTGGAACATATCTGCATAATAAATCTAGTGGTATCATTTATTTTAATCTGTTTTTAATTTAATTATTTTCAAAATATATTTTTAAATCTCATTTTGTATTCATTTAAAATGTAAAAGGATACCATACATTCCATCTTTTAACTCTAGTGCCGCTCGACGTATTATTTTTTCTCTTTTGAGTGCTCTAGGCGTCATTTCTTTTTTACTGTGATTAGGTTGACGTATCTTTAATCTCTTTAAATATTACATATAAAATTAATTATCGATTAAATTAATATTTGATAGATAAAATTTTTAAAAATATTTTACCTCGACTCTTTTTTCAAATTTATTTCCTTTAATTACTCTTTGAACATAAACACCTGGTACGTGGACTTGCTCAGGTGGAATATCACCTATTTCAACAATTTCTTCAACCTGGAAATATATAATACTTATAGCTCCATATATATTCTTCACAATTAAAATATGAATATGAGATCTGATTTTAAATAAATGTAGGCAAAAATGCTGAAAACTTCACTGTATTGATTGTTTCAAGAATATAACTTTTTAATATAGTTTAGCTTCAAAATGAAAAAAATAAATTATATTTAACGTGAAGACTATTAATGAATAATGAAAAATAGAAAATATAGGAATCCAGTTAGAAAAAATAACAAGTTTGGTTGATTTTTACTAATCCTATAATTCATTTTATTAGGGAGTAAAAGTCATTGTATAGCATCATTTTCAATGAGAAATGAAAATATTTTTGGTATTTAATTTTGCAGGTTTATATTACCAGTATCATTTAATTAATAATAAATAGTAAAAAAGTTTTAAAAATAAATATTCATTTATTTTTAAAACTTTTTAATTTATATAATTCTCTTAGCTAAATAATTCTCATATTATTTAATTTATTTAATCTATACATTTTTAAATTTAGTTTTGAAATATTCATTATACATGTAAATGACTATAAAAAATAGACATGTTTTAATAATAAATCAGTTTTTCAAAAATTCTCATTAAAAATATATAATAATAATAACTCTTTTGGAGTTATACATTGGACTCACACAGATCTCGAGCAACTCCAAAGGAAAACAAGAACAACACTTACTAAGCATAAACAACATCATCCTAAATCTGCCACAGAAAGATTAACTCTTCCACGTAAAGATGGCGGACGTGGCCTGATTGACATAGTTAACCTTCACTACAAACAAATACAGTCACTGCGAGAGTTTTTCTACAAGAAACAAGAAACATCACAGTTACATAAAGCAGTAACTCTAGCAGACTCAAATAACACACCATTAAACTTACACTCACA